CCTGCTGAGAAGACTAACATATCTACCATATTTTCAGGAGCCAGATCTGAATAAACCAATTTGTATACATGTCCAGTACATGTGTTCAATGCAGACATACCAAGAAAGCCATACGGTTGAACTAGATGGCTAGAATAGTTGAGATTGGGAAAGATGTTTAAGATCATCAAGTCCAGCTATCAACCTAGCACCACCCCTGTGTTCACCATTAAACCAGGTTCTCAAGTGCCACATCCGCACATTTTTTGAACACTTTCTAGGATGGTGAGTCCACCACTTCCCTTGACAGTGTTTTCCAGTGCTTTACAACAATTTCTGTGAATTTTTTTTCCGGATACCTACTTTAAACCTCTCCTGGTGCAAATTGAGACCATTTCCTCTTGTCCTGTCTACTTGTTACCTGGGAGAAGTGGTTGGCACCCACTTCCCTACAACCCATTTTCAGGTAGCTGGTAGAGAGCAGTAAGGTCTCCACTCAGTCTCCTTTGCACCAGGCTTAACAACTCCACTCCCTCAACATGTGACTTACTTTCTAGACCCTTCACCAGTTCTGTTGCTCTTCTCTGGACATGCTCCAGTACCTCAATGTCTTTCTTGAAGTGAGGGGCCCAGAACTGGACACAGTACTTGAGGTGTGGTCTCAGCAGTGCTGTGCACTGAGAGTCAATCACTTCCCTAGTCTTGCTGGCTACACTATTTTTGATACAAGCCAGGATGCTACTTGCCTTCTTGGCCACCTGGGAACACCTCTGTCTTATGTTCAGCTGCTATTGACCAGTGCTCCCAGGCCTTTTTTACTCTGGGCAGCTTTCCAGCCAATCTGCCCCAGGCCTGTAGCACTGCAAGGGGTTGCTGTGACTGAAGTGCAGGACCCAGCACTTGGCTTTGTCGAACCTCAGCCAACTGACTTTGGCCCATCGGTCCAGTCTGCCTTTCTGCTCTCCAGCAGATCAACATTTCCACCCAACTTGGTGTCATCTGCAAACTGACTGATGGGGTACTCGATCCCTTCATCCATGCCATCAATATGAAACAGGACTTGCCCCAATACTGAGCCTTGGGGAACACCACTAGTGTGCGGCCCCCAGCTGAATATAATTCACCACCACCTTCTGGGCCCAGCCATCTGGCTAGCTTTTTACCCAGCAAAGAGTACACCTGTCCACACTATGAGAAACCAGTTTCACCAGGAGAATGCTGTGGAAAACAGTGTCAAAGGCTTTAGTAAAGTCCAGGAATAAGACATCCACAACCTTTCCCTCATCCACCAAGAGGGTCAGTTTGTCATAGAAGGAGATCAGGTTGGTCAAGGAGGACCTGCCTTTCATAAACCCAGGCTGGCTGGGCCTGATTCCCTAGTTATAGAATCATAGATTGGACTTTATAGATCATCTAGTCTCAACCCCCCTGTCATGGGCAGAGACACCTCTCCACTAGACCAGGTTGCACAAGGCTTCATCTGACCTGGCTTTGAACTCTGCCAGGGTTGGGATAGCCACCACTTCCCTGGACGACCTGTTCCAGTGTCTCACCACCCTCACAGTAAAGAATTTTTTCCTAATATCTAGCCTAAATTTCCCTCTTTCAATTTGTACCCTTTGCTCCTTGTCCTGTCACTGGAGCTCCTAGCGAAGAGCCCCTCTCCAATGTAGTCTCTGTCCATTAAATTTGCTAGAACCATTAGTCACAGGAGTGCATTTAATTCTATGTGTTGTCAGCACTTTGAGTGAAAGCTGTTCAAAGAAGAAATAAGTTTATTCCAGGAAATTGCAGAAAGGTATTTGATAAACAAATTAGTCATTGGAGGAGAACAGATAAAAGAATAAATAACAGCTTGGCAGCAAGGAAAGAAATAGAAATTAAAGTGATCAAGTCAAGGGAGAAAACCATGTCTGAGGAGGACAGAGTGTAAGGACTCAGATATATATCAGTAAACATTAATTCTGTTACCACACATGAACTGATCCACATCACCTTTTAGGCCTTTCCAAATGCAGAAGATTTGCATCAGTTCAGCCCTAAAAGAAATACAGCTAGTTAATTCTCTTTAGCTAACCTCTTCAGAGAAGTAATTATATTTGTGTAGTCAAGTTGAATCACAGTTGTGGACCTAATTATTAGTATTATTATCATAGCAATCTATTTATATATCTAGACACAGAGAAGACATATCTCCATAAGAGTCAGTTTGAAACTCTCGCACAAAAAAACAGGTGACAGTTGAGCTGAATGAATAGACTTGAAAAGAACATGGTCAAATAGCTTTAGAGGACATGACCATCTCTGCATTTTCTCACAGAGAGGACATCCTTTTTTAAAAGATGTGAGGAATGGACCCTGTAGAAACTCGTGTGATAAAATACCATCACATCTGTGCTAATTCTAGTGATTTTATTTTTGTATTGTAGACAATTACTAGGATCAGTTGAATAAAAGTGGATAGAAGGAATTTTTATGATTTAGTAATGAGGAGCCCCATTGTGCCAGAGGGTGTGCTTAGGGTTGCTGTAGAGTGTGTGTTTAGGGTTGCTATCTCAACAGTGCCTCATCAAGATGGGCAATGGATAAATGAGTGTAGATGATTTTGAACAGAGTGGTGACATCTGCAGGCTGTTTTCATGGATAAAACTAAATCAGAAAGAGGCTACCCTGCTTTCCCTGTGAAGAGTAAACCTTAATAAATGGCTTAGGATTCTCAGGGCTATTTTATTTTAGATAAATGTACAAATCAGCAAGTGCTTTGTGTTGAAGTGAAGCCATAAGAAATAAGTCATGAAAATATCTAATGATGATAAAAATGCACAAAGTTAGTAATGTTATTCATTAACACTTCACAATCTTAAGTGAGCCCTCTGCCCAGTGAGCTTATAGTCTAATTCAAAACAGTGTACAGCGAATTATCTGGTAAGAAGAAAGAAGTGATAAAGGAGACATTATAAGCAGCAGTACAAAAGATGGAGAGTCACAGGCTGTCAGTAATTCCCCAGCACTCTCATTTACTGCATTTATGAGCAGGTGACACTCCTGTCATGTTCCAAACTAGAAGATTACTTTCTGCAAAGTCACAACTCTCGCTTCCTTTTTTTTCTTTCTTGGCAAATTAACCCAAATCTATTGACACAAGATGCAGGGCAAAATTGTTTATAAGTTTCCTTTCTGTATAGATTTAGCAGACCAGGCAGACCACCATCCCTCTTCTCTGTCAGTAGATGGAGAGTTCCCTATGCCTGCTGTTTGTGGTCAGCAAGGTCACTCAAATCCTCAATGGCTTACCAGCTCTGCTTGGATAAGTTAACCATGAGCTCAGCCATGCAATTCCTCCTCTGCGTGTAATGTTAATGATACTGTAGTTTTTTGACATGTTATGATGTTATTCAGAAATTTTCCACAGTGCTGTGATCAGTGTGGGCCAGAGCATTGCTGAGAATATTTATGTCCTATTCCATGTTCTCCAGTAATGCAAGTAGTGCATAACACTGATTATCATAAAGAGATCATAAAGAGTGAAGTCTTGGACTCAATTCTTCCTTCAGTTATTGGGTGTCTTGAGGTCAGCCTGACAGAACTTCATTTGCACTTAAAATGCTCTGGATTCAAGTCTCAGAGTAACTCAAATGTCATGCTCACAACCTGGTCAGTTCTCCAGCAGCAAGGTGGTGTTCACTGCTAGCATGGTGAGTAACACACAGGTATACATCAGAGTATAAGCCATTAGTTTTCCAAAAGACTAAAAGCTGACACTTATTTGAGTATGTCTTCAAAAGAAAATATGGACTAACCAAGCAAGTGCAAAGCAATGAGACTTCTTTCAACACAAAAAAACCCAAACAGCCAAACCCCACAAAGACTCCAACCAGATTGATAAAGTCATTGTACAGATTTATTTTTTTTGCAGGAAGAAATTTATGCCTGTCTGACTTAAAGTATCTGCCTTACTGTTCATATCCAGACATCACTTAACTAAGGAATCAGGACATTGAGAATGCTCTCTTGAGTGTTTTAAAGTTAGGGATTCTGCTGTAGTAGGCAATTGAGAGCTAAACCACAAAAGGAGTCAGCAATTATTGTTACAAAGACATTCCTAAAATGAGATTCTAAGGGTGTGTTGCAATGCCTTGCAGTGTGAAGATCCCAAGAACAGCAGATACCAGACGTGGTAAGCCATTACAGCTCATCACCACCCACTATAAACTGGCGAGCAATGTGTTCATGCTGCTCTGGACCGTGATATTATCTAGCACAGATGTCCTTTAAATTGCATTTCCCTGTGTCTTCTTTTCTAGGTCTGCCATGTGTGAAGTTATCACAATGTTCTCTGATGCATAGATAGGTGCATCTGAAAAATGTTATTACTGTGTTGGAGGAGAGAATCAATAGGTGCCCAAATGAAAGCCCTCTGTTTTCATTTGGTGGTCCCACTCACTGTATGAATGCCACAACTGATGCTATGCTGTACAAATGAATGAATGGGAAACAAATTAATTGAGTAGAACTGCAAGGGGAAAGAAAGAAATAATACAGTATTTTCATAGTTCTTATGAACTGCAGCTCACTCTTCTATGTTATTGATGCACCTGAGTGATAGATTTTAGTGATATGTGATTTGAGTTCAAGCTACATGTAGACTTGCCAGTGACTGAATTTTAGAAATGGCTGGCTAGACTAATATTTTCAAGCATTTTACTTAGGAGTGCTTTGCATTCAGCCATTGTGCTGATTAGAAGTCATAGCAGAGACCTACAGATGTCAATGTTTCCTTTTATGTTTTTACAGACATTGGTTGAATATGGAGCAAATGTCACCATGCAAAACCAGGTGGGAGAGAAACCCTCACAAAGTGCTGAGCGACACGGGCACACCATGTGTTCCCGCTACTTAGTAGTTGTGGAGACGTGTATGTCATTGGCCTCTCAGGTTGTCAAGCTAACTAAGCAGCTGAAGGAGTAAGTGTTTCCTCGTTAGCAGAGGGATCATTCTTAGAACAATACCCTACTTCATCTTTAATTTATTAGCAGTGTCTGTTTTCTGCTTCTTATGTGACATTTTCAAGTCATTTCTACCTTATTTCTCCACTTTTCTCTGCTCTCAAGCATTTGCCTCTTCACGTCTAGCAGCTCAGTTTTTCAGCTGTTCTTTTGTGGCAGTTTGCTATGCACATAGATGAAGGGAGTGGGAGCAGAAAATGGTATGGATGAAGCAATCCAGTCCCTTTTCCCTTTGCATATCTTGGGATCATGTCATTACTGATCAGAACTTCTGTTTGCATAGCATGCCTTTATATACAGTAAGTGGCTCTTCCCCGTTACAGTGCTGGGTGTTGATGTTGGGGGATATAGTAGAAAAAGCAGTTGGAGGGGTTTTTTTTGACTTGGAAGGTCACCAGAGCCCACAGTGGCTACTCAGGAACTACCTTCTGTTTGTTTTTTTCTTCGTATGAACTGGTTTTAATATTTTAGGATGTTTTTTATTAAACATTCTGTAAAAAGCCTGTTATTTGGAAACACAAACTTTTGAAATTGGTTGCTTTTATTCTAGGTGCAGTTACTGTGACTTAGCATGTCTCTAAGACTCTCAGAAGCCATCAGTACTGACCTAACATTATTCCCACTTAGATGCATGATCAAGGGCCCGTCAGCTATCACAGTCCATGAAAATGACTCCTGATAGTCCCATGTTTAGAGGAGACCATATCATTTTATGCAAGCAGCATGTAGCTATTTGTCCTGGGTATAAATTACAATACTCTGCTAGCAGGGGAGTTGCAGGGTGGCCTCTGTGAGAGTAGTTGAGGGGCTGCCCATTGCTGGACTCTACTGATTGAAGCTGTCTCCGCAATAAACCCAGTGCAGAAGACAGCTAATAATCGATTATGCTTGTATCACCTCTGTGAAAACTTACTTAAGAAAGGGCAGAAAATGCCAGAGAGGAGAACAGAAGAGTGACAAACAGAGGGAACAGCAAGGTCAGAGAAGCTGAACATGCACCATGGTGGAGAAGGCATGCCCCCAAAGGGACTGTGGGCCATAGAGTACCCATGGTAGAACAGATACACCCCTTGAAAGGACTGCAGCCCACACCAGAGCCGATGATTTCCAGGATGAACAGCAGCCTGTAAAGGACCTATATTAGTGCACAGGAAAAAGTGGGAAAAAAAGGAGCAGTAGAGAGAAACTTCTACACATGAACCCTGACCTGTGCTGCATGTTGGCTCACTAAAAAGTCTAGGTGTAACCTGCAGCGATGACAGGAGAGGAAGGGAGGTGTCTGGATTGAAGCCTGAGAATGGAGGAAAAGAGGAGCTAAGAGTGCAAGTGAATCTGGGAGTGAATTTGAGCTTGGAAAAGGGAAGGATATATGTTTTAAATGTCTGTCCTTTTTTTGTTTCTCAATACCTGAATCAATAATGAAATATTTATGCTGACAATGAATTAAGTTAAATATCCCAAGTTGATTCTCTTTTGCCCATGACTGTAACTGGTAAGTGATCTCCCTGTCTTTACTTTGACCAGTGAGCTTTTCTGCCTCTGTTCATCCTATTTTCTGCTCCCATGCCACTGAGGCATAGTGGAAGTGCAAGACCGGCTGTGTGGGACATTGATACAATTTTTAGTTTCAGACTGGATGTTTTGAAAATAAGGGTGAAATTAGCTGTCTTGTTAATTCACCCTTTTTGTTATAATCAGGTATCTATTTTGTACTGGTTCTACAGCAAAAGAAATGCATAGTAACAACCTTCTCTGTCATTACAGAATACCTGCCTGCATTTGAAATATGCTTATTTTTATATTTGTAGCTCTGATTTTTATATTACAAAGGCATTTTCTCTTTGCACTATCTTCATTCTTCTTTTACATTTATAATTTGTTCATTTACTGAAAAATGCAAATTAGCTGACATAAAGTAAAAAAAATAGGACATAGGACATTTCCCAAGTAGACTGCATTAGCATCTGACTCAATATATAATGAAATTTTTTTCCCTGTAACTCAGCAGAAAAAACCCACCACACATCAGAAAATAGAAATAGCAACCACAGCCTCCATGTTTCACTTCTCTTCAGTCCTCACTCAGTACTTGATAAAAGTGTTACCTCTTGTATGAAAAAGAAAGATTTGTTATGTCCTTCTCCCACTGACCTACTGGAGAGCAGCTCTGCAGAGAAGGACTTGGGAGTCCTGGTGGACAACCGGCTGTCCATGAGTCAACAGTGTGCCCTTGTGGCTAAGAAGGCAAATGGAATCCTGGGATGGATGCATTAAGAAGAGCATTGCCAGCAGGTCGAGGGAGGTGATCCTGCCTCTCTACTCAGATGTTGTGAGGCCACGCCTGGAGAACTGTGTCCAGTGCTGAGTTTCTCGGTACAAGAGGGACATGGAGCTCCTGGAGCAAGTCCAGTGGAGGGCAGGGAAGATAAGTAAGGAACTGAAGGACCTCACTTATGATGAAAGGCTGAGGGAGTTGGGCCTGTTCAGTCTGAGGAAGAGACAACTGAGAGGGACATCATCAGTGTATTCAAATACGTGAACAGGAGGTGCCAAGAAGATGGAGCCAGACTCCTCTCAGTGGTGGAAACCAATAAAACAAGAGGTAATGGGCAAAAACAGATGCATAGGAAGTTCCACCTGAATATGAGGAAGAACTTCTTCACTATGTGAGTCACTGTGCACAGGAACAGATTGCCCAGAGTGGTTGTGGGTTCTCCCTCACTGGAGGTATTCAAGAACCTCCTGGCGGCAATCCTGAGCCATGTGCTCTAGGATGACCCTGCTGGAGTAGGGAGCTTGGACCAGATGGTCCATTGTGGTCCCTTCCAACCTAACTGATTCTGTGATTCTGTCAGCAGGCTGCTCACCCCCACAGAAATAGTCTAGTTGTGACTTTGATAACAAAAGCATTAACACTTTTCCAAGTCTACCTCTCTGTCATCTCACCAATTGCATCCATAGGAAGTAATTTAAATTATTCTTATCTGGCTCCTGATGGGTTCCTTTGCTTGTTTCAGATGGAGTTGAATCTGCTTCCTTTCAGCAGCCTGTTTTTGCAAGCTTGAGATTAGCTCCAGTAAGTGCAGCAGCAGCCTTTTCTTCCTCTTCTACAAGGGGATGTAAGTCTCTTGTGCAACCCTGTTGCATTTTACTGAGGCAGTGAAATATTCTATTTTCCACTTGAAAGAGCAACTTCTGCATGCCTATTTGAGCTGCAGGCCTCAGGCCACGAGTGGTTTCAATAGAAGCAATGGACCATGTTCAGAGGCTCATGCTTAGGAGCCAGAGGGGATTATGGATACAGACTTTTGGCCTGTTTTGCAGTTCTCATCATTCTTAAAAATCCAATGATGGTACAAAGTACATGCCTGGAGCAGTTTCTCAGGGGGACCTCTAGCATAGCAGGGGAATCCAATGGCTGCAGCACCACTGAAGATCCTGAAAACATCAGATGACAACAGATGGAAGTCCAGTTTACGGTCTTAAGTCACTTCAAACTGCTGTTACATAGGAATAGCTCCAAGTTGGGCAGCTGAACTGGCTTTTCTGTATTTACTCCACCTACTTCTTCTTGTGTTAATGAACATTGTTCTAGAGACAGAATAGATATGATTGTATCATGATGGACTACCTGAATGGTCAGTAGCAACACAGAAAGCCAGTGTGCTTCCCAGCCTTCCCTCAGCTGCTGTAAACATGAGCTGATCATGCAATTTTCTTTAATCTGAGTGCCTTATTAATCAGGGATAGAAGCCTCTCTCTGATTACACTATGTCCCCAACCACAGGCATGGTTGATACTGTGGAAAAAAAAAGCAGCAAAGAAACTGTTGTAGACAAGCACCTATCAAGACCCATCTTCAAAGATCTTATCCCAAGGATGTACCATCTTCCATTCTCCTTTTATGAGCTTTTCTAGTCATCAAAGCAACACAGAGCTGTTCTAGAGAGAAGTTACTCCAATTCTTCACACTGTGTGGAACCATTCTTGAAAGAAAGGCACAAAACCAAGTCAATAAAATCAAATTTTTCCAGAATCTTCACATCTTTCAACTCATTAAACCAAAGCAACTCAGATGACAAATGCAGAAGAGTATAGCAAAATCTCTGAGATGTGTCTAAGTCTTGCCATAGTTTAGGAGTGGTATGCCCCAATCTATTGTTTCCACTGAAAACCCCCAGACATTACTCTGCTGGTTCACCCGCTCATCCCCTCTCCCTGCAGTGGGATGGAGGGAATTGGAGGTACAAAACGTAAAGATCACGGGTTGACATAAGAACAATTTACCAAATGTCGTGGTTGAAGGCTTTTATCCTTCTGATTCTCTCCTTGATCTTGCTGGTGGGGGAGTGAGCAAGTGGCTGTATGGTCTTTGGTGGCTGGCCAGGGTTAAACCAGGACTTTTAGAAACAGCAATGAAGTAAGAAAATGAACAGGAGCAACTGTATTAATAACGAAGTGTACAGCACAGGTGAACAACTCACACACAATCACTCACCATGTGGAGGCCAGTGCTGCCCTAACACACACACTGCACCTTGATGGAACTGGTGCCCTGCCCCCTCGGTCCCTTCCACACTCCACATGATGCGAGGTGGTAAAGAATAACTCCAGGGTCCTGGCTGCTGTAAAAGTTAACCCTGTCCTGGCTGGAACCAGGACAGTCTCCAGTTAGAGGAAAGCCTTTATATTTGTAAGAAGGAAATAAGTGGTGACTACTAATGTTCCATCAAATCTTCACAGGTGGTTTAACTGAGAGTTTTCCCCAGAAGAGGGAAGGAATCAAGCAATTCTTTCCATAAGTGGAGAGTAATATGGCCCACAAAAATCTGCTGTTACTGGCTTCAAAATGCAAGCTTTACTTCATCTCTTGCTAATTATAGAAATTTGGTCAATCTAGTATGACTTTCTGAACTCAACAAAATACTTCGGACAGTCAGCAAAAATTTCTCACAGAGACTGTACAACATAATTTGCTTTCATTTTACTTTCTGAGGTCTCCATAGGTCTTACAATCTTAGTTATTCCCTCACTGATTTCGTCTGCCTAAAAAATCCCTAGTTACCAGCATAGAAAATTTATAACTGCAATATGACTTGTATTGTTTCGGCTTTTCTGGTCTGAAGAGACCAAGTCAGAACTAATAACATAAAATGAATGCTTCCATAGACTTCTTTTATGATCCTGCTTGATGACGGACTGTTCAACCTGCATTCCCAAATGGTTGCACCGTTGTACATTTATGGATCCAGATGTGCAAATCAAATAATGAATGAGAAGTTGATTTTTTCTATGTTATCAAGCCAAAATATCTGGCAATGCGAAGATCAAAGCAAACCATGAGTCAAAACACGAAGTTCTGTTACCAGCACTCTTCTGTGTTCTGTAAAAGAAATTTGTGATTTTCCTGGAACTTGGTAGGAATAGCTGTATAAACAGCTGGAAAAAAAATTGCAGTAGTGGCATGGTAAAGTGTGTGCAAGTTGCTGGCTCTTTTGTTTGATCAAGGGTTTGGGTTTTTTTGGTAGTAGGTGTTATATAGACTTAAGAAACTCAGTATAAACTTTACAATATTCATCTCTCTTTTACTTAGTAAAGCCATTTTATTTTCTACTTTGTAGAATGGCCATTTTTGGTTTAGTTGAAAAAGCTAAAAAGCTGGGGGAAAAAGAAGAAGTAAGAAAACATACTCTTGAAAGATACTTCAGTAGAACCCAGTGCTTCAACCTATTCCCTTTTCAGTTATTGAGCTCCCTGATTTCATTAGGAGGTAGTTGGGGTCCACAGTTGTCTAACTAGACACAGAAGGGTCCTAACATATTGCTCACTGGGAATATTGTCTAAGACCCTTAGAATATGGCCATTTAGTATAATAAAGTAGAGCCTCTTACCCCTGAAGTTTCAGTGATCTTGTCTCCTAAATTAGTCTGGTTTTAATACTTTGCAGTGATGCTGTTCCAAGAAGTTGTGATCCTTTTTTTCCAAATTTGTCTTAGATATATATATGTGAGTTATATATCCTTAGGGATAATGCTGGCAACATGTGTGGGTTTCTGTGAGTTATGTACTAACTAGTTAAACTGTGAAAATGGAGGAAATTTCAATTCTTTAGCAAAATAAAATGTTTTAAGTGGAATGAGAACATTAACTCAGAAGAAGATGTCAGAGATTTCAACTAAAGCTAAAAGCATAAAAATCTGTTAACTGCATTATTTAGATATTTAGAAATAGAAATTGAAAGAAGGATAAAAGGTTAAAAAAAAAGAAAGATAAATTACATCACAACCTAATCTCAAATGAAAATTTCCCTAGCTCTTAAAAGAGAGTATCTGGGGAGCTGCAATGTAAGCCAATGTTGACAGATGGTAGGAGTAACTTTAAAATAGTCTTAGGAAGTGTGTAGGCTAGAGGAAGGAAGACAGAAAATTAAAGGAAGAAAGGATCTACATAAAGCATGGCAGTATTGTAAAATGTAATGGCAAGGCAGCATGTCAAGATCACACCTTTATTTCTGTAGTACTTTTCAAATCCACTTTGAGATATTAAAAGTAAAACATTTGCTTTCTGCCAGCCCTGCAAGTACAACCTTTAGTCTAAAAAGTCATCTGGATTGTTTCTGGCTTTGCATTGACAGTTATAAAGACTGCATTTGGAACTCGGCTAAGTCTTCTGCTGATGGCATGCAATCTAGGACAGTATCCAGCTCACTGGTCAAGAACTGTCTTAGTTTTGCAGATCCAACAAGAATAAAAGTACTAAAATTGTATTACTTATGCAGCAACAGAAGTGGAGCCTGGGGGAAGCAGATAAAAAGTCATTTTCCCATGGTCATTTGATCAGGACCAGGGAATAAAACCCAACATACCAGTTCTGTTTCAGGTGAAAGATAACATATGAACAGTAATAAAAAGCTCCACATCTCTTGTTTTCTAGTAGTTTCCCAATAATTCTGGCTGTGCAGTGTTTCGAGGCACTAGAACTTACAGGTCACTAAACAAGATTGAATGTTCTCCGTGGTGGACAACAAGCTAAAGGGCTGTTTTTATGTTAGAATGGAACATCTGAATTGTATGGAAGCAGGGAAAGGAAGAAAAACATTTTGTGGCAAATTGATCTGTCCTGTAATTCTTGTAGAACTACTTGAGGGTTTGTTAAACTGAGTCATTCATGTGGAAATAAGTATGTTACAGGACAACATACCATGATTATACATGGTAAATGGTAAATGAAATTTCTAGTGTGAATATCACTCTCATATTACTAACAATTTTTAGATACTATTACAATTTTTGAAACATTGGTCTCTAAAGTTGCTACAAAACAGTGTAGATCACAACACTATGCTGAAGGTGATAAACTGCAGTAGATATAGCACAACAGAATATAAGGTGAGTGCAGAGCACACTTAGGACCTTTGGTAAGGTTGGGCAGCGAGCAGATGTGGCACAGAGGTCACACTTAACTCCATCCTGCACCTCAAGAAGATTGGACCAGTCCTTCCAGGTGGGCAGAGGCTCCTCTCTGAGTTCGTTTGCAGAGGGAAAAGGAGAGAGCTGTTGTTTAGCTGCATAAAAGCCATCCACCACACATAGGAATTGACTGCTTAATCTGTCCATTTTGTATTCCTTTCCACAAACAAGTAAGACCCATAGGCCCCTAAGTTTGCTCTGCCACATCTTTGTGTCTGTGAGTCACTCAGTTCTAACTCACTGCTACTTATGATCTCACACTTGACTTTATATGAAGTATAATCATAATGACAGGTAAGGATCTCTCAGTTGGTTTTGTACAGGGATCGCAAAATGTCAACAGGGATTCAGTAAAAAGTACAAACTCTCCATGTTCTTACTTGTAATTTCTCTATTTATTTACTACATTAAGTACAGGTGAAGACTTTAATATTTGAAAGGATAGCATCAGTTATCTTTAATTTACTAATGCAGACAGTTTTACAGTTTGAGGTAAACAGTCTTATATTTTCTTGCAGGCAGACGCTGGAACGTGTGACGTTACAGAACCAACTCCAACAGCTTTTAGAAGCCCAGCGGTCAGAGGGCAAGTCATTACCCACATCCCCAAGGTAAGGTGACTGGAATTGTACTGCATCCTGAATTTGCATATGTCCATGGTCTATCAGTTTTCAGGAGAAGTTGTTATCTGGCTAGAGAGTGGATGTGTTCTGTAAAAAAAAAAAAAAAGTGTTTTTTTTACCTTGTGGACTTGAAGCTGAGTTTCTGGAATTTGACAGTGTGTAATGTTGATAAATATTTGAGTTTCTGAGTATGGACTAAATAGTCCTTGTTTCCCAACAGAGTGAAAAATAGATTTATAGTGGAATATAAGATATTTTGAATTAGATGACCCGTAGAGGAACCTAGAAACCCTTTAGGAAAGTTGTAAAGTTTGACCTGTGGTCCACTGTACATTACTGCTAGGAGTAAGTCATAAAGCCAGTTACCAACATGCTTTCAGATTCATAAGGCTCCTTACACTCATTAAATCTTTTACCTGCAGTAGCTTGCAAAACTCTAGATATTTTAGGTATTGTTTACATATCTTGTCAGAAGTTGCAGAAAGAAACACAAATTGAGTTTCAAACTTTTAAGAGGAGGAAAGCAAAAAGACAGAGGACTGGATCTCTCTGACAGTGTGATGCATGGATGTCAAGCAAGCACAACTTCTCACAGCAATCTGAAGATGACTTTGAAAGGAATTAAGTAACCCACATATCAATGTAGCTCAGTTTATCATTACCTTCTGATTCAGTTTAGTCTCCAGAAGACATATACAGTGCTTCTCCGTGTTTCAGAGGTGTTAGGCAGCTAAATATGTGTTGAAGTATAAAGCCAACATAAAAACTTCTGCAGGTATTGATGGGTGATCAAGTCTGAACTCATAGGATCAGTGACCGAGTGCTTTTTTTCAATTCTCACAAAATCTCAAACACTTTTCTGTACAAGTGCGCCATGTCCCTGAAATTCATGTGTCAGTGTTTCAGACAAATGCGTAAGTTACAGTAGTAGATAATGAAAATGTTGGGATTGGAGATGCATTTATGTGAAAGAACTTCAGCTAAGAAAGGGCTGTAAACTCCAAACTTCCGCTGAAGTAGAAAACCACACTGGAAAGAGTTTTTTTGTCCTTTTTTTAGGAATCATGGTCTTTGTCTTCCCTGTCTGCCAGCTCAACAGGGACAATGGGACCAAACGCTGTCTTCCAGCTCATTTGGTTTCTGTGATTTTTGCTGACTGGTCTTTACAAGTGGTCTCGCATCTGAGTACTGGTGAGCACCAGGACTGTTTTACTTTCAGTATCAGATAAGATCAGGTGAAAGCAGATCTCTCATCATTCATTATTCCTGAAAAAGGGTAGGTTTCAACATCTTTTTAGTTAAGTAAGCAAGTTTGAAAATTATTCTCTATTTATTTTATTTCATAGTTGGCTACTACTTTTCCTTTTAGTTAGAACTCACTTGTGATATTATCATCATTCAAGTAGCCAGTAGTAGATCTAAGAGAACCTATCGCTTTTACTGTCTGCTATACATAAATGCATTCTTCAGTGTCTGTTTTGGTTTACTACAGGAGAATAAGCATAAAATGAATTGAAAATGAGGTGGCTAGTATTAGGCATGTGAATTTTGTACACTGTGAGAACTATGGACTCATCAGAGCAGAAGTTGCTTGCCTGCCTGACACTAACCATAATTTTGTCACCTTGTCCTTTAAAAGTTTAAAAGAAGAATGGGAAGTGTTATGAGCTCTAGCATAGTCACAGGGAAAGGAGAAGTCTCTGTAATTTACATTCTTTGCAAATCAGGCTTACTTGAAATTGCTTTTTCCTTGCTATATAACATTTGGAGTTCTAAATTTATTTTATTACTCTAATAGTATTGAAATTCATTCTATTCTAATAGTAGTGAAGTACATTCGATTCTAGTAGTATTGAAATACATTCATATCGCCTTTCTCTTGCTTTCAGTATTTCACATCTGAAAAGGTTTCCAGTACAAATGGCCTTGACTTTGTATGAGATCTTATGTATCTGTTATTATTTTTATTATTATTACTACTACTACTACTGTTAAGTTTATATTTATTAAATCATTATATGCAGAGAGGTGGTACTTTCACAGTACCTGGAATAAGCTACTTTTATGTTATTATGTGACTTGTATAGTAGTCATTTGGCTGTGTGGGATTTTTTCACCTTTTAAAACATATCAACTTGCACAAATAGGAAACAGTAACTTCTCTAGAGTTATCCTCATAAAGTCATATTTGGTGTTTAAATAACCATTCTAAGTTTTGATTTTAAGGAGTTTTCTTTGTAAGAAAAAGTGAAGATACTCAAATCCTTATTAGGAGTGGAAGCCAGGTTACATCCTTCTCTGTGTAATCTTTGCTGTGGCATCATAGTATCATTCCATGTGAGTAGTGATGAAGAGGATAAGTAACAACAAGCTAAGACAGACACATACACTGGAAATGGCAGTTTCACATTTTAGATGTGCATTAATTTCACTGTGGCCTTTCCTATTTTTTTTATTTAAGCTTGCCATCATCTCCTGCTTCTGGCAAACCCCAGTGGAAACCATCTGAAGCAGATGAATTGTCTCCACCAAAAAGTAAATTGAACACCAAAGATGGGATTCAGATTCTTGGCAGCTTGGGAACTTCTAGTCGCACTCGAGCCAAGATGAAAGATGAGGACTCAGATAAAACCTTGCACCAACTGTTGGGGAAAGAAATCTCTGAAAATGTCTCTATGCAGGAAAAGCTGACTTTGGAATTTCAGGATGTTCATGCATCCTCCAAGAATGTGAAGAAAATTTTGCCAGAGAAAAGGGAGCTGAAGTTAGCCCGACTGAGGCAACTGATGCAGAGATCTCTCAGCGAGTCTGACACAGATTCAGCTAATTCTGAGGACCACAAGAACACCCCCGTAAAAAGAACTGACAAATCAAGGCCTCAGCCTATAGTGGAGAGTGTTGAGAGCACAGAGAGTTTGAACCTGATGCTTAAGAAACACACTTCTGCAGCAGGACGCCGCTTCCCTTTTGGTATCAGGGTCTCTAAGTCTGTGGATGGCCACAGTCCTTCCCCTACTTCGGAGAGCAGCGATCCGGATAATGAAGCCCCGTATCATTCTGGTACAGTACCTCAGAACCAGTTTTGTGGAGACAACTCTCCATGCAGCACAGACGGTGCCACTGCTCAAAAGGTTGCTACCAGCCCTAAGAGTGCTCTCAAGTCTCCATCTTCAAAGCGCAGAACCTCTCAAAATTTGAAACTTCGAGTAACTTTTGAGGAACCTGTGGTGCAGGTGGAGCTAGCAGAGTCAGAACTAAATGAGGAAAAGGATAAAGACCGGAGCAAAGGACTTGTGCGGGCTCCACCCAGCTCTGGGGAGCATGTAGGGGATCAGCTGAAAAGACCCTTCGGAACCTTTCGGTCCATAATGGAGACTCTGAGTGGTAACCAAAATAACAACAACAACTGTCAAACAGCAAACTTGATCAAAACCTCATCAACGCTGCCTTTTACCTCATTAGGAAGGAAGACAACAGACAGCAAGGGAAATCCAGCAGTTCTCTCAAAAGGAAGAAACAAGCCAGTGAGTGCACTGAAAGAAGGAAGGGCCTTTTTTTTCTCATCTCTTTAAGTAATTAATAAGTTTGACAGCTGTTTCCTCCTGCCTTTCTATAGCAAAAGGATACACACAAATACTTTATTGTATTTGTAGGAAGCCCATCCACTTTTTAGTTTTGGAAGGCTTTTCCAAGGAGTGGCAGGTATTGCTTTTGTACAGAGTCTGTACTCTTAAGGCACATGGGTCACGTGTTTTGTGTTGAAAGCTTTCCACAGAGACATGATTCACATGGAAATGATGCTTAATGTTGCACTGAGTGACAAGACATACATTGAGAGTGCCAATCTTTAAACCATGGGATCTCTGAGGAGTAAATAACTCAGTGACTGGCCCTGTCCTGTCCTATAGCCAAGATTGATGAGGCCACCAAATAAGAAATAAATGGTAGACTATAACAAGGAAAAATTGCAGAAATGGTCCTTCCTGCTTATCTGGGAGCTACAGCCAACCCCTGCGTATTGAAGGTGTCAGTCCCAAACCTTCTTGGCTGATCTTCTCCTCGTAGCACAGATTCTTCTTGTGTGAGAGCATATGGTTGGTCTGTAGCAAAATGTATTGGATCCAGATCACTTCCTCTGCAGTGAACAGAGTGCTCTTTCTGGGATCCCAACAGAAGGAAGGGTGTCTGCAGTTAAGAGGCTGGCCCTCTTGTTTAAAAGAAAGGAGAAAGTACTTTGACCAAATGGGTCTTCCAAGAGAAAAGAAGAGGTATTGAATGAAAGAGACAGAGATAGGAAATACTGTGGGTGCAGTGTGTTTGTGGAGCAGAGAAATGCCAGTGATACAATAGTGAGAGTGAATGGTGGATGATTTAATCCTCTGTGAAAGACAGAATGGGAGGGAAGGATGGATAGAAAGACATGAGGTGAAAGAATAATTTCAAAATGAAAAAAAGAACATAAAGCAGGCAGGAGGAGGAGTAGGACTAGTGAATTATCTACTGTAAAAAGCATGACAAGGTAATGCAAGAAAAACAGAGGAAGATCTTAGGCAAAGAAGAGGCAAAACGAGTATGGAAAAGAAACAAAGGAAAGAGAGAACTGAGAAACAGTGAGCAGTCCATATTAGTAGGTACTACTCGAACTGTAGTGCTATAGCAGACTGTGAAATTAAATGAAAAATTCAAAGGATGCCTAATGGGCTAAATTGAAGTCAGATTGTATTTATTAAAGTTTACTCAGAATCTGAATATGAACTACTGATTTGAGTCTTTAAAGAAATGCACCATCTAGTTGAACAGACAATTTAACATAGAAGTATTTTTATAACACAATGGGAAGTTTTTTTCAAATGAGTGATTCAGATTTTGTAGGAGGAAGAGATAGTCTGATAGATTACAAACTCATGAGCAGTTTCATAATTCCCTCAGAAATTTGAAGAATTGTATGAGGTAATTCTAACACTATTGACACTTACACTGTAAAATGCTTGTCTGTGGAAAGGCCATGTTTGCATGTTGCCAACGTCAGAACTGTGGAAAGAATACATTTTCATACCAGCCCAAAGGATCACAGCATGCATCTCAAAGAGGTAACAGATTCAGCTTCAAAAAGAAACCTGTTAAAATGTTATTGTGGCTATTTTACTCCATGTTTTGGTAGATTTCCATACTGTGCATGTGGTAAGCTCATTGCATGCTTTTAACTGATATGATGTTGTACTTCCTTAGGGTCCTTACTTCAGCTACTCCAGTCTTTCCTCTAGCACGTTGAATGAAGAACTTCTGTGTAAATATGCTTGGTATGTGCTTATGCATGATGATGTTTAGCATCTCTGTTGCTTTTTTTGCTCAAATTGCACGTGTTTGCTAACATTATTTGGAACTGAAA